ATATATTTCCAGGGCGGATGCATTAGGCATTATAGATACATATATACTTTTACTTTTCGACAATTTACTCTTCAGAAGGTTCTTTCATCTTGTAAATCTTCTTATCTAGACACGTGTTTAGTTATTTAAATAACTTCTAAGGGAAAGTGTTGAAATAAAAACAAAAGTGAATATAAAATGAAAGCATTAATGTTCGTTCTTGTTAAAATAAAAACACGCTTCAACTAGTTGCAAGTATATCAATTGGTAAAAGAAATACTGTTTTTGATTATTAAGTCTTGTCCGGCGCGGGATGTTTGCGGGCAGCACATTTGCGCTTTTTTAATGGACATTTGCGCTTTAATTTTTTGGACATTTCCGCTTTTTGAAAAAGGACATTTGCGCTTTTTCAATAGGACATTTGCGCTTTATCAACATAACATAAAAAAAAAAACATTAAATATAAAAAAAAACATTTAATATAAAAAAAAACACAAAACATTCATATATATTAATACACAGCTAGAAGCATCAACCTTTCCCCATCATGCTTGTGTCAGATGAAAACGACAACCATCCAAGAGCGTAGATGGGAGTAAATTCCTTATAACAACGGTTTATTCCTTGAATGCCAACATCCTTTGATCTACCGACGATTTACCTGTAAAATTATGTTGGCGTTCAAGGAAAAGGTGTAAGTAGTTATCACAACAAAAGTGCATGCTTATCAAAACAATCATACTAATTAAACAGATAGGTAAATTACAGGTAGCTAAATCTAATTCATGTTTGTCAAGTTGTTGAATATCATTTTTTGCTTTTACTGCTTGAACAAATATGGATTCTCTTAAAATGAAACTTTGAAAAGTGTTGCATCACAAAGTGAACATGTGCATATTGTCAGGAATTCCAGTTTACTCAAATTCTACAATAGCCTCTTTAGTCTTTGAAGTTTTTTTTCAATATTTCTATAGTTGTGTGTGCTGTAATATCCTCCCATATTACTTGATGGAATTTCTTGAAACTTTGTATCACGTGTTAGATTACAATGTTTTTATTTTGTTCAGTTTGTTCAGGATATTTTTCTTGATAATAATACTACACCTTTTTTTGATTGTAATTGATTCATAAAATAATATTGTTTAGGTGTTTAAAATGTTCGCAACTCATCGGAATTCTTGTTTCCCCATTATTATGGATTTTCTTGAAACTTTTAAAGTTTCCAGCTTCGAAGTTATCAAATTTACTTAATTAGTTCTGATGATTTTTGTCGAGCATGCGACTTTTGTCGCAGAAAGCTCGACATAGGGATAGTGATGCGGCGGTGTTAGCTAACTTCTTAAAAGCTTTGTATTTTAGAAGGTGGAAGACCTGGATGCTTCATACTTTGTATATAGATGCCTTATGTTACGAATTTTCAGTTTGTCACATGTCCATTGTCCATGACCTCATTTTCATGGTTCAGTGATTACTTGAAAAAAAGTTAAGATTTTTTGTAATGTTAATTTCTCTCTTATAATGAGTAATAGGATAACTATATTTGGTATGTGCGTACCTTGCAAGCAAGGTCCTCATGCCCATCAGACAGTTTTCACTTGCCGTTGACCTCATTTCATGGATCAGTGAACAAGGTTAAGTTTTGGTGGTCAAGTCTATATCTCAGATACTAGAAGCAATAGGTCTAGCATATTCGGTGTATGGAAGGACTGTAAGGTGTACATGTCCAACTGGCAGGTTTCATCTGACCTTGACCTCATTTTCATGGTTCAGTGGTTATAGTTAAGTTTTTGTGCTTTGGTCTGTTTTTTCTTATACTGTATGCAATAGGTCTACTATATTTGGTGTATGGAATGATTGTAAGGTGTACATGTCTAGCTGGCAGGTGTCTTCTGACGTTGACCTCATTTTCATGGTTCAGTGGTCAATGTTAAATTTTTGAGTTTTGGTCTTTTTTTCTAATACTATATGCAATAGGTCAACTATATTTGGTGTATGGAATGATTGCAAGCTGTACATGTCTGCCTGGCATGGTTCATCTGACCTTGACCTCATTTTCATGGTTCATTAGTCAATATTTAGTTTTCTTGGTTAAGTCTGTATCTTAGAAACTATAAGCAATAGGTCAACTATATTTAGTGTATTGAATGATTGTAAGGTGTACATGTATTTCTTGTTTGGTTTATATGACCTTGACCTCATTTTCTTGGATCATGTTAAATTTATGTGATAGTTGTAGTAAAGCTTTATATTTAGAACTATCAACATAATATCAATGATTAGTAAAGAAGGCGAGACATTTCAGCGTGTGCCCTCTTGTTAAAGTTTAATTACTTATTCAATTGAAATCTTCATTTAGTTCATATTAACCATAGTCTATATAATATAATATTTAAATTGATATGGAATTAAATAAATCTCTAATATCCTTTTTTTAATGTCTTATGTTAATAAGCATTTCCATTCTCAAAATATCTTTTTTTTTAATAAAAAGTAATAAAAATGTTTTCATCTTCTTTATTTCTTTAAAATTCATAATAATTTTATCCTAATGTCTACTATTTTTTCTTATCAAAAAGTGATAAAATGTTGCAATTTTATCAAGTTCACTAATTATTTAACAGTTAAATACTTATAAAAACACCTATTGTTATTATATAAACATCCATTGAAATATTTTTGTTGGCATTCAAGGAATAGGTAACATATAAAATGTTGGCATTCGAGGAAGACACCATAACAACCATGGCTCTTTCTCAAAGTTACATGTAACAGGTACAGCAGGTGGTTTAAAAATAAAATTTCGATCTTCACAAATTGAAACAAGCTTAGATAAACTATGATGGTACAGTTCATCGGACTATTCATGCAACAGATTGGACACAAGAGGAATATAGTTTCCAATTTTAAATCCACTAATTAGAAATTAATTGAAGAATTTCGGTCAAAATTTAAATGTTCCATCTATAAAAGTTTCGGTTTCTCTATCGTTTACCCAGAAACGTATACTATATTTTTTATAATATGTCTGGTTTACCCGAATAATTTGTTCTGATTTTGTCGTTTGTTCGGAAGAATTTTCAAAGAATCCATGACTTTGGTAATTTTTCTAAAGATTACAGGTAAACTATTATAGCACAACTTTTTGAAATTTTAGGTCCTCAATGCTCTTCAACTTTGTACTTGTTTGGCTTAATAACTATTTTGTTCTGAGCGTCACTGATGAGTCTTAAGTAGACGAAACGCGCGTCTGGCGTATTAAATTATAATCCTGGTACCTTTGATAACTATTTACACCACTGGGTCGATGCCACTGCTGGTGGACGTTTCGTCCCCGAGGGTATCACCAGCCCAGTAGTCAGCACTTCGGTGTCGACATGAATATCAATCATGTGGTCATTTTATAAATTTCCTGTTTACAAAAGTATGAATTTTTCGAAATACTAAGGATTTTCTTATCCCAGGCATAGATTACCTTAGCCGTATTTGGCACAACTTTTTGAAATTTTAGGTCCTCAATGCTCTTCAACTTTGTACTTGTTTGGCTTAATAACTATTTTGATCTGAGCGTCACTGATGAGTCTTAAGTAGACGACACGCGCGTCTGGCGTATTAAAATATAATCCTGGTATCTTTGATAACTATAGGTAAAAAACGCAATTGTCTTGTCAATTTTGTACAGGTGTATCAAAGTTTTAAGCGAAAATGTCCATAGTGTTTGAAGCGCAAATGTCCTTTTGTGTTACAGGTAAAAATAGCGCAAACGTCCTGCGTCCGTCTGATCACGGCTTGTCTTTCACGATCAAGATAATGCGTTGCCCGATCTTTCACGATCAATTTTGATGAAAAATCAACGAAATTCAATGTTTCAAAAACAAAATGAACGGTTTCAAGGAATAAAAAACTTTTATATTACTGTATTATCTGACACACCAAAGATTCAGTTTCAAATATATCATTATATATATATATATATATATTTGAATGTGACCATTACAAGTACAAAACATTTTTTAATGAGTCCCATAGACTCCCAGCAAACACACGACGTACTCCCGACGTCGGTAAATGGTCGTCTGAACGTCATGTCTTGAGTTTACGTCGTACCAACGTTGTGGGGACGTAAAAACCCAACGTTGGATACAGACGTACAGACGACGTTATAAAACTACGTCGAATTTCACTTAGTACCCTGTCAGCACGTAACATTTTATTACGTTGTGACAACGTGCTTATAACTGTAATAATCCGTTTCTTTGTTTACATTGAATATGACGTCATAACATAAATAACATAAATAACGTCACAACTAAAATTCTGAACAACAGAACCGAAATCGGAAACGTAAGGGTATTTCCGTTTCTTTTTGAACAGATTTTGAAGTTAAAATATGTTTGAATTAAAAAAAAAAAATTCATACAGACTTCGTCCCCTTTCACAGGTAACGCCTGCCTCATATTAGTGGATTTTATTGCGCCCGTGTAATACAAGCCTTACATTCTATGTGGATATTGTGTCCGTGTAATTTAAGCCCAGATTTTAAAATCCTTTTGGATGTACTCCTCATTAGCAGGAGGAAGATACAGAAAAAAAGAAGAAGAAGAAGTTATGCAAGTCCCAGACTAGTCTTAATCATTTGTCATCATCCAAATAAATATATTCTTCAGATCTATATATTGATTGGGAAAATAAACAAACTTTGGAAGTCATTTTAAAGAATATATTGCTTTTTTAACTCTTAACTATAATACAATCAATGTTGTCACCAACACCTACCTTGTGCATTAAATGTGTAATGGTAGGTTGTAGTTTGAAATGTTTTGTTGGTGTTTAATTATATTTTGAAATGATCCGGGAAAGAATAATCTTAATACAACGTGAATCTTTACGCTGCTAATTATCCGTAACATCTATATCTGGAACTGTTCTGCATTTACACACGCCTATTAACTTTTTGAAATTAGCAACTTGAAAGAAAAAACGTTTTTAGGAGCTTGATACAGCACATGTGTAAAGTATTATGCTTTAGTTTTTGCATACTCTTGTTTGGATTGTTCTTGACTAATAATTAAATGACAGATTGGCACATATATAATGATAATTCTCAGATCACATTCACCAGAATGTACATTCATAGACCATGTAGAGGAGGTTTGTATCGTGTCCGTTCGCTCCCAATACACGTACGCGCCATACACGTTCGCATCCCAACACGTTCGTCCCATGGGTGCGATCGCACCCTATTCTTATTTAGATACTGGTTGTTTTTTTAATGTATTTATCAAAATATTCAAACTTTTATGAATAAAAATTCGGGATTTTTAATTGAAATCCTGATCCTGATCCTAAGGTCAATATTATGACACAACTGTTCTCTTTGTGCTGGATTTTTTCATCCGGGTACTTAATTTCTCCGTTAGTATTTTCACCTGGTACTTATTGGTTAATTTGTTAGGCGCAGGATCGGGGGTTTTCAGGGATAAATGAATCTTTAAATCGCCCTGAACTTTTTACATATTCTCCAATTATATCTGCTGTTCTTTCGTACGTCTCCTTACTTGCTGGTGCTAACAGGGTTTGAAGATCTATTTTGATGTTTTGAATTTCGAGCTGTCTTTCCATTTCTTCTCTTTCCTGGTGGTATATCGGACAGTTTAGTAGGTAGTGTTCAGTGTTTTCTTCTTCACCACATTCACAGTATGGCGTGAGGGATTGGCCTATCTGATGGCGATATTTATTTAGCCTATTGTAGCCGGTTCTGAATTCCGACATGATTCTCCCTATAGTTGGGTTTCGGATAATCAAGTGGATGGGTCTTACCTACAATAGGAACTAATTCATGTAGTTGTCTCCCAGTTTCACTTCTAGTCCATCTATTTTGCCATTTTAATTTTGTTGACATCTTGACTGCACTTTTCACATCAGACATTGTTATGACGTTGTACTGGTCATTTAGATTTGAGGCCTCCTGTGCTGCATCTTTTGCTAACTGGTCCGCTATCTCGTTCCCGTCTATATTAGAATGGCCTGGGATCCAAGATAGGGTAGTTTGTATGCCGCCTCTCAGGAGGGTCCCAATGCTTTCTTTGATGTCTGTGATAGTGTCGATGTAGTTCGATGACTTCCAATTGAGAGTCAAGATGCCAACAGCTGTCTGGCTATCTGATAGAATATTTATTTCAGTGAATTGTTCTCTAAGTGTGCAAATGCAGTGTTCTAGGACCATAAGGATAGCTACAAGTTCTGCTAAGAGTATTGAGCCTCTGCTTGCTACTGGTCTTTTTAGGCTCGTTCCTTGGTGGTTCTTAATATAAATAACTGCTCCTGCTCCACATGGTCCTGGATTTCCCTGACAGGAGCCATCTGTAATTTGTAAATGCGATAGCTGTTGACTCTGAGCTTTCTCCTATCAGTTCTTGTACTACTTGTTTACTTTGGGCAGTTTGTTCTGCAGTTCTGTTTTTCGAGCTTCCTAATTGGCTCCAGTAGCTTGGCGCTCTCATCAGCATAAAGTCTATTCCTGCCTTGTAGGTAAACTCGGGTTCTATCAGTTTTATGTCTACTTTTGTTGTTTTTAGCATATCCATAGCCTGATTAATAGCCTTACCAAATGGAGATTCTTGACGTTCATATGTATCATTGTTGGTAAGATACTCCTCCAGCTGTTGTTTGATTGGTTCTGCTATATTTTTTGATTGGATTTTTGCTATTTCTCGGACTGAGATTTCTTCCATTCGGAGGTCGATTGGTTGCATATTTGCCTCTACTTCCATTGCTTCTCTACCTGCTGTTCCTGGTAATCCGAGGCAGACTGATAATCCTTTTCTTTGTATTGCTTCCAGTTTTTTCATACTTTCCATTGATGTTATCTGCCAAACTGGGCATGCATATTCAATGATAGATCTCACCATGCTGTTATGTATCTGCAGAAGTTTTGTTCTTGAGATTTAACTATGCCTTTTATTTCTCGTATAACATTTAATGCATTGTTTGCCCTTTTCTGTACTGTATCCGTGTGTATGTCAAATTTGATTTTTTCATCTAATGTTACGCCAAGTAGTTTGGGTGTAGGACTGTATTTGAAGTTGAAGGAGTTGACAGTCCGAGTTTTTTGTGTTATATCTAGATCTTTAGAGAAAAGACATACTTCGCATTTGCCCATATTGACATTTATCCTCCATTGTTTAGTCCATTCTAAGACTATATTAACGTCCTTTGATGTTTTTTCTTTTAGTTCTTTAACATCGTGTCCTTTGTGCCACAATGTGCCGTCGTCAGCAAATTTGCAATTTTGTCCTGCGGTGTTATCCATAATGTCTGCTATAAAGATGTTGAAAAGGGTAGGTGACAGAACTGACCCTTGTGGTAAGCCAATTTTTGTTTAAAATTGACTCCCAGAGAAGTTATTCAGTATGCATCTGGCTGTCCTATTTGTGAGGAAGCTGTTTATCCAAATCCAGATTTTTCCTTTTATTCCTAACTTATGTAGTTTAACCATCAATCCCTCACGCCATATTGAGTCATATGCCTTTTCCAGATCTACTAGCCTAGCCAGAACCGATTCATTACTATTCAGAGCATCTACTATTGTTTGAACTAGTCTAAGAAGGGCATTAGTTGTTGAATGATTTTTTCTGAATCCTTCTTGGTTCAAATCAATCAGTCTGTGTCCCTCTATATATGCAACTATTCGTTCTAATATTACTCTTTCCATAAGTTTGCATATAATGCATGTAAGACTAATTGGCCTGTATGAAGCGGTGGAGTAGTAGCTTGTTTTTCCAGGCTTTCTCAGGAATTTTACATCTGCGTTTTTCCATTCTGTTGGGATTTCGCCTTTTTTTCATATGATGTTCATCATAACTACCAAAGCCTCTATGAAATTTTCACCTGCATTTTTAAAGAATTCAGCAAATTGTTGGTCTGGCCCTGGAGCTGTCCCAGTCCGTAAGCGATATACTGCCGCCTCTACTTCTTCCTTGCTGATTTCTCTGTCAGGCCCATCCCTCTCCTGTTGTGATCTTGTTTCTTCTTTGTACTGGTTACTTATATGTTAGTATACTCTTTGTTGATTTCTTCAAAGAAGTTGTTATCAAAAGAGTCTGCATTTAGATGACTGCCTCCGAAAAAAATGTTTTGCAGGATTTTTACTTTGCCCTGATCAGTCAGGGGTACTACTTAAACAAGTGATCTCAGAATCACTTCCTCGAGTGATTTTGGCTGTGAAATATTAAAAATTTTCACACAGACTTTTTAAAATCACTGAAACAAGTAATTTTAGAAGTTAAAATGTAATCACTTTAATAAGTGTTTATAACATTTTCTTGATATTTTTCCAACAAGCTTGATTTTTTTATTGGTAAAAAGACAACAATTCCATTGAAAAAACAACTATGTAAATGCAGAAATTGTCTTTTGCTTGATAAGCCTGACACTTTTACAGTTTTTTTAAAATATGCAAAAACTGGAATAGTTTGTAGATCAGGTCATAACCTTGAAGTAGATCATTCTAACTCTAAAGAAAACCAATCAGGTTACCTAATATTGTTGATCTTTGTCTGATAGTAAGAGTAGTTAATGAATTTTTGATTACAGAAAAATTCCCAAGGGTACTTTTAAAAGCTTTAGCGCACTAACTTACTGCCCAAGCGCACTGGCGAAATTAATATACAAAGAAAAAGGGATAATTGATTTATGTAGGAAAAATTTAAATTATAGAAAAGATTGTGAAAATATGGAAAATCAATGAAATTAGCATTTGAAGATCAAAGAAAACACTAAAATCACTTAAATAGGTGATAACTGAATTTATCAAATCACTGAAATAAGTGATGATGAAATCACTTGTTTAAGTAGCACCCCTGACTGCTGATTATCGAATATTGGATCTTTATTTGCAGCTATCAGCGGTAATACAGAGTTATCCTCTGTTTTTCTGGTTATTTTTTTATATGTGTTCCAGAAGTCTTTTGAGTTTTTGGAATTGTTTAGTTCGTTTACCAGCTTGTTACTCCAGTTATCTTGTGCTTCTTCTTTTGCTTTATTAAGGTTGTCTTCAGCAATTATAAGTCTCTGTTTATTCTGTGGGATATTTCTCATTCTAAACTGTTTCTGGCAGTGATTAAGGTGTTTTTTAGCAGATGTTACATTACTATCCCACCAGCATGGTATTTTATTTGGTGATTTAATTATTCAATTCATCATTAAATGTTAATTACATATCATTACTGTTAATTGGTATTTACCAAGACAAATTTGGGGAAGCAAGTTAACTCGTACCACGTAAACTCGTACCAAAAAAGTTAACTCGTACCAACGTAAACTCGTACCACGTAAACTCGTACCAAAAAAGTTAACTCGTACCAACGTAAACTCGTACCACTGGGAAGTCGTACCAATCAGAACTCGTACCACTGCAAACTCCTACCATTAAAAATATATTCAAAAATACGAATGTTTTATGATTATTTTTTTTTTGGTAAACTCAATAAAAAAAGTTGAATTACTTGAATTTTATACTAGATTTTAATAAAAACTTTGTCTTAGACAAAAATATGAATGTTTTATGATTATTTTTTTAAGCTTTATACAAAAAATTAAAATATCTTTGAATTCATACCAGATTTTAATGAAAAGTTAGACAAAATAATATATGATATATATGTGAATAAAACATAAGGTGTATTTCTTGAGAGAAAAAAATAGTAATATTTGATGTTTTGTTAATTTTTTATACATGAATGTTCTTGAAATTGTGGTAAATAAAGCATCAAAATGAAACATATTCTTTGTTATTCTGCCAACACTACCATTACGCCTACTGGTCATTCACAATACCATTAGACACATCATTAAAAAAGAGGGGAGAAAGATCTCAGGTAGCAATACACAGTTAGGAGTTTGGTTTCGCATTTTGGCACTGGTGGATTTTTCAAATATGAAAGTTATTGTGTAATAAAATTCATTTTTAGACAGCTGAGTACTAATTTAGCCTTCAAAGGTGGTTTATAAGAACATCAAGATTATTTTTTACATGTTTTATGGGCTATTTTCTGTTTGACTCTCCGTATTTTCATAGCTAGACCGGTCATCGATATGATTTTCATTGGATTTATTGAAAGATATATGTTAACAGTTTCAGAAAAGGTATTACTTGAAGTGATTGAAATTCTACTTTTGGTCAAATTTTGGGAAAATATGTGACATCTTTTCCCCCCTTTTTGCTATATTTTATAACAAAAAAATGCAGATTGTTGCCATGGATACACCAAAAAGAAATTATATTTTACCATTTTATATACTGGATATGAAATCTATGGAAGATTCTGATTACATACATATGCACATATATGACACAAACAGTAAGCTTAATATTGCAAGAAGGCAATGAAAAGGGGATGGTAAAATTTATGAGGGAAAATTTTAACATTTTTTCCTAACTGTTTATTGCTACCTCAGGTGCCATTTCATCTATAAAGATGCATAATTACCACTACAGGTGATAATTATAAATGAGAAGAATGATAATGACCTATTATTTTTAGATATGAAATAAAAGCATGGTCATATACTGCTACAAAGTGCTGAATATTGTATAAAAACAAATTTCATACTTTCTAACTGTTGGTCATAAACAATTTTAAACCTATAAAACACAATAAATAAATTCTTTCATTAAATAAAATTCCTTTTAGAAACTATAGAAAAATACCCAAATCTATTCAGTGTTACTGATTTGGAATGATTAAAAATTAAATCAAATAGTTGTCAGTAAAAGTTTAAAAAAGAGTCTATTCAAGGGAGACAACAAAGCCAATCTGCCACGGTTTTCTCTATCCAATTAGACAAGGAAAATTAGCTACAAATTGGTCATTGTAATTTCAAATTATATACATTTTATAGACTTAAGAGGTATTGAGTGATATTTAAGTATATATTCATCATTAAACTCAATTTAAATGTATTTAAATAAGTTGGTACGAGTTTATAATGGTATGAATGTACCGTGGTACGAGTTAGCAGTGGTACGAGTTTGCATTGGTAAGAGTTTTTTTTTAGTGGTACGAGTTGACATTGGTACGAGTTTACAATGGTACGAGGTAACTATAATTCCACATTTGGTATTATTGTTCTGTGTTTTAAAGTCATGGTTGTTGTTATAACTAGATGTTAATACTGCACGTAGTCGTAGTCAGCTTGGTATGAGTAAACTCAATGCAGAATTGGTATTTTCCACCTTTCATTTACAATCTTAGATGAACGAACTTAGCATTGGTCATCACTGGGACACCATATATTGTATAATAGTCCAAGAACATCATGACATTTTTTTCATCATGATTCATTTCGTCAAAATAATTAATAAAACACTAAAGGAAACTTGTTATATTTTTATAATGTCACTTTATTTTGAAAAAAAAAAACATATTTCTAGGAATACACTAACTTAAACATGATTAAATATTTATTCCACACAAAACACAATAAAAGGGTGTGAACGTGAATGGGAGCGAACATGATTTTGGGCAAACAGACCTGGAAACGACGAGGATAGACTGGTACCCAGCCGTTTTTTGACAAGTTTGACAATAAGTTAATATTTGTTTATTACGAAAGGCATACTGAATATTTTATATTTTACGGAGGGAACCAACCTAAGACGAGGGTCCATAATTTTTGTATTCTATAATTTTTGAGGCCATTTTTCTCCATTCTTTATATTTTTTACCTACATGTATTATTCTCTATTCTTTACATTTAAGCACCTCATTATTCTTTATATTTTTAGCCCATTATTCTCTATTCTGTAAACCCCCATTACCACTCCATAGACACTTGTCCCTGATTTTTTAATTAAATATATCTTTATAGTAAAAGTTATGATAAAATCAACCCTTATACGGAAAATCAGCATGTGCATAAAAGATGATGTCGTCCTGTTAATTTTGATACAGATATTCGGTTGCAGTCCGGTCCAATATGGAAAAAACTGTATTACGCCATGGGGACATTCACTTCTGATACAAAATATTGTAAGCCCCACCTAACTTTTGACGTATTGTTATGCATACAATACATTTTTATCATATTTTCTATCTTAAAATAATGATGTATAGTCATTTCGAATCCTGGCAAAAACCATTTCGTACCTTGACCATTGTTGACCATTTTGTACCTCATAGAATATTTCTATGTATAAAATTGAGAATGGAAATGGGGAATGTGTCAAAGAGACAACAACCCGACCATAGAGCAGACAACAGCCGAAGGCCACCAATGGGTCTTCAATGCAGCGAGAAACTCCTGCACCCGGAGGCGTCCTTCAGCTGGCCCCTAAACAAATATGTATACTAGTTCAGTGATAATGGACGTCATACTAAACTCCAAATTATACACAAGAAACTAAAATTAAAAATGATACAAGACTAACAAAGGCCAGAGGCTCCTGACTTGGGACAGGCGCAAAAATGTGGCGGGGTTAAACATGTTTTTTTGAGATCTCAACCCTCCCCCTATACCTCTAGCCAATGTAGAAAAAACAAACGTACAACAGTACGCACAGTAAAACTCAGTTTAAGAGAAGTCCGAGTCCGATGTCAGAATAGGAAACAAAAGAAAATAAACAAAATGACAATAATGCATAAATAACAACAGACTACTAGCAGTTACTGACATGCCAGCTCCAGACCTCAATTAAACTGATTGAAAGATTATGTCTTCATCATATGAATATCAGGCACAATCCCTCCTGTTAGGGGTTTAGTATTATACCATCATAAAATATATGAGAAGAACATAACCCGTGTCATGCCAACAACTGGTTTTAGAATAAATATGTTTAATTCCGATGCAAAGACCCTATAAGTGAATCAATATTAAAGCCAAAATATGCAATCTTTAATGACCTGACAACAGTATCGTAACTATATCCCTTCTTAATAAGTCTGTTTAAAGGTTTTGTTAGCTTTTGAGGTGAATACTGACATTTTTGTGCTTTGTAAAGAATATTACCATAAAAGATTGGATGTGAAATACCCGAACGTATAAGATATCTGCATGTTGAGTTATATTTACAAATGATGTCCTTATACCGATGATAAAATTTAGTAAATGTTTTGACTAGTTTATGATATCGAAAACCCTGGTGTAATAATTTTTCAGTAATACATAAATATCTTTTGCCTTTTTGTACCTCACGGAAGATTTATATGTATTCCATACCTCAAGGAAGATGTATATGTATACCATTTCGTACCTTCTGGAAGTTTTAAATGTATTGATTTACATACCATATTGAAGATTTAAATGTGTGTCATTTCTTGGTAAAAACTGTTTCATTGATGTTTACTCCACATGTCCTTATTAGTATTACTGAATCATCATGATCATGTATAAATAAAAAGCAAACAAATTTCTTGAGTGAATATCAGCTTGTGTCCTTTTTCACTGCAAATCCTTGAAAAAACAGCTGTTGATAATTATAAAATAAGTTGCAGATTGTTATTTTTTTGTTGGTTAATTAACTTCATATTTTTAGAGTTGAAAAATTAATTAAGGATAAATATTGCAAACAAAGTGCAATAAACATTATTACAATTCCCAAGTACTGGCCTGCACAATTATGAATTAAACAAATCACAGGTCTTAGAAAATTTCTACTGCTGGAAGCATTTTGTTAATGTTGTAATATCTTTTTTTTTAAATTAAAATCATTTCAAATGATTTTTTTAACATATATTTTACCTACATGACCTACAAACATGACAAATGTATATATATCTAAAAAAATAACACTTTACAAAATTTCAACAATTTACAAATATCATGAATATATGATACTAAATTAAATAGTAACCTGTATTTAGTTTATGAGGTACGAAATATTTGGTTTACTCAGTTGGTGACAGACCATATATATGTATAGGGTACGAGTGGTTTTGATCAGGGGTACGAAATGGTAGATTTTAGGTACAAAAGGGTAATTTTGGGTATCAAGGTATGAAATGACTTGCTACCAAAATAACATAAAAAAGTTTAAACCTGTATTTAAACCATTTTAAATGTAAATATTCCGCAGCCTTTCTTAGTAAAACTTTTGATTACTATCACTGTTTCATTTCCGTCGATCAATCATCCAAACACAGACAATAAAGATTAAGAAAGTTAAAATGTTTGGATTTATTCTTCCCACATTTTTTTTTTGTCCCAGCAAGGATTTATATATTTTTCAATTCCACAGTTGTCTATCCCAAAACTTATTATGCCATAAATCAATATTAGTTTTTCTACACAATGGTGTATAACATGCCTACCTTTGTTATCTAAATTAATTGTGGCATGCCTTCCAAATAGGCCAACCCTAAGCCTTGTCTTCTGTATTAATTACAGCTGCAGGTGATTAGATTACCTAGGCATTGCCAATGGCTAACCGTTTGCTAACAGGTGTCAAAGTTTAACTACTATAACAACAGACCCTATTAAATATTTACACAACATGAAAAAAGTAATAAAATGGATTTTTGAGGACAATAAATTATGGCACTGGCTATAAAGATTATGTTGAAAACATCTTAATAAAGAAAAAATATGTTACTGTACATTTACTACTGATTGTAGAAATGCAAGGTTGGGTTAGGAAGCGATTATTTATGGATGTAACAATAATCATGATAATGTTTCTGTCTATGGTATAGGGGGAGGGCTGCTGCCCCCTTTATCATGTTTATGGAGGTACATATGATATTTATGTTAAATGCATAGATTATTTTCACAAGTATCACTCCAAACATTGGCTTTAATAACAACAATACATGAACTTATCAGATATTGAAGCACTGCAGCTGGTTACCCACAATGCATTGCTTTAGTAATCTCTCAGAATGCTTTATTCAAGTGTTTCAAGGTGGGCCATATCATCTAGTTTAAAATTTCGTTTCATTTCAGATGGATACTAAACAGAAAATTTTAACCTGGACATTAGAGTATGCTTGTAAATATAAATTCCACAACGTAATTTCTGGTAAGTTGTGTTTTCATGTAGTATCCTTTTAAATAAAGATATATACAGTGTACCACAATTTAATAATTCTAGTATAAAGTTACTTAGACAAAGAAAGCCATGCATTTTTGATATTGCTTTAAATGCAAGTAAGATTTAAAAGTTGATAGTTACTGATTTCAAAACATTTCATTCTTTGGTTGAATTCCCACAATGAATAGTGGTGATTGTTGGTTATTCACTATGTGAAATCTCTCTGTATATTAGTAGGTAATACATTGATTGATTGATTGGTGTTTAACACCATTTTCAGCACTATTGTGCTATTTCATGGCCTACAGTTTAATTTGGTGCAGGAATCTGGTGTGCCAGGAGAAAACCACCAACCTTTGTTAGAAAAACTGACAATCCTAGTCAATTATGCCAAATAGCCACAAGCGGGATTCGAACTTACAACCTTAGGTGTTGAAAGAATAGTGATACTGTAGTTTGACTACTTAGACCACTTGGCCATTGAGGCCCCCACTTAGGTAATATATTACAGGGTTGTAAATCAGAGTGTTGTCACTTTATATCACTCTGTTTCACAGTGAATCGCTCAACACCAGCAAGAGTGAATTTTCACAAAACTTCCCTGTGGGTAGTGTAGTACATGTGTACCTTACATGATTCTCATGATTATCCAACACAACATTGGAGAAAGGATATATGGTAATACTGATTGTCTTTCTATTTTATTTATCTTCAGATCTAAGTCCAATCAAGTAATATTTATAATTATTCACTGGATTTTAAGTTCCAAAGACATGTGCATGAATAGGAAAATATATAAAATGACAAACTTATACTAAGTGAGAAATGCTGAGTAGGAACCATACAATTATTTCAGAAGATGGTGTGGATTTTATAGGCAGAAGTTTTGGTAAACATTATCTATTTGGTTTTGATCACATGTGATTGTATAAATTTGATAATTTATTTCTAATTATAATGCATGTTATACAGCTTGCTAAAAGGTTCTTCTATAAGAGATATCACTGGACTGTAGCATTTGTGAACATAGTGAAGAAATGATACAGTTTTTCATGTAACTCATGGTCATAACTGCTGTATTTTGTGTAACTACTATTACAAGAGCTAAAGAAAAGTCACAAACTGTACCAGCCAAACCAGCACTAAACCAATGCCTGTAAAATATCAGATTTGTCCATGGTAAAGTTGCAGAAAAACAAGAAAGTTTAACTTAATTATTTACTTTCACCTGGGAAAATTGTTATTGATATTTAGATAATTTGAACTGAAATTAGTTTAATATACTTTTTAATTGACCATTTGAATAATTAATATGTAAAACGTATTTTCAGCTGTATCCCAGAATGCATCAGACATTGAGGATTGGAATGTTTCAAGGTTATATTTAGTAACAAGTGGTTTACACTGCATTGTGACCTCGGCAGACTATAACAGTTATCCTCAAGCCATTCAGTTCTTAGAATATTTATATGAGAATTGTATAGAATTCATCCCATTCAGAGCATACTCCAAATTAGTCACTGGGATTAAAATGATGGTAGGTTATGTCAAAATAATTCTTGCAATTTAGCTATTTGTATAAAAAAAAAATTACAAATGGAACAAATTATCACTATTTTACATTGTATATATAACAACCTAACATACAAATTTAGATAAAAACTTTAATAAAAAGCAGACATCTGCATCCGTGATGATTATGCCTAAAAACTTTGCACATGTGGTGCAGACTTTCTGAGGTCATGGATGACAATAGTGCAGTGGGCCATCTGAGATGTATTTTAATGTAAAAGTTGTATTATTCATGGTATAATATAACATATTAAAGAAAAACTGTGACCAAGTTCTTTGCAATCACACTAGTTGATCTGAAAGTTAGGCCAAGGTTATATTGGTCAAACAAGTTGATAATCTGTTCTCAGATATGGTTTTGGTGACCTTTTACATCAGAAGAAAAAAATTGATATTACATAGTACTCTGACTGCTTAAGTCACTCAAGGACTGTTATCATGGTTATGATCTTTCTGAAATAAATGTGGATAGTGTCCACATGTGGACACAGATGATGCCCCCGCTTGCATATCATATAGTTATAAAGGGACATAACTCAAGAACGGTAAAAGTGACGCTACCCAAATTTGAACTTGATCTGAGTTTTGTGGTAATAAGCATTGTGTGTAAGTCTCATAACATTTGGTTGCGGCTAACTTAAGTAGAGAACAGAAACTAAAAATTCAGCAATTTTTCTATTTGTAAACACGCATAACTCTAGAACGGTTGTGTATAAGTTTTATAACATTTGGTTGAGACAAACTAAAGTTAGAGAACGGAAACGAAAAGTTCAGCAATTTTTGTGTTTATAAAGGGACATAACTGAAGAATGGTAAAAGTGTCGCCACCAAATTTCGTACTCAATCTGTATTATGTAGTAATAAGCATTGTGTATAAGTTTCATAACATTTGGTTGAGGCAAACTAAAGTTAGAAAACAGAAACAAAAAAATTGTACTTGATCTTAGTTTTGTGGTAATGAATATTGTGTATAGGTTTCATAATGTTTGGTTGGGGCAAACTTAAGTTACAGAATGGAAACTAAAAATTTTGCAATCTTTTGATTTATAAAGGGGCATAACTCAATAATGGTTAAAGTGACACTACCCAAATTCAACTTGATCTGTGTTTTATAAATGGAAGTCAAAATTAAACATTGCATTGTATAAAGCATTGATTGTAGTTGATTCAACTATAATCATGGACAAAGGAAGATAACTCCAATTTAAAAATCACTTAATATTTAGAAGAAAATAAAAATTTTGCAATTTTTCCATTTATAAAGAGGCATAACTCTAGAACAATTAAAGTGACACCACCAAAATTCAAACTTGACCTGTGTTTTATGGTAATAAGCACTGTGTATAAGTTTCATAACATTTGGTTAAGGCAAATTAAAATTAGAGAACGGAAACAAAAAATTCAGCAATTTTTATACGCCCGTTTACGGGACGTATTATGGTATACCGTTGTCCGTCCGTCCGTCTGTCCGTCCGTCGTCAACATGTCGGACATTAACTCAAAAACTCATTAACCAATTTGCATAAAACTTTGGTGAATTGTTTATATCTATTGACGTGAGCTCCCTTTCGTTTTTTATAAATTTTAGATTTTACGTTTCCGAGTTGTGGGGTTTTATTCATTAAAAAAAGGGGGATTTTCCAGTTTTCGGACAATAACTCAAGAATGCTTTCACCAACTTGCAAAAAATTGTGGTGAATTGTTTATATCTATTGACATGAGCTCCCTTTCGATTTTTATATATTTTAAATTTTACGTTTCCGAGTTACAGGGTTTTATTCATTAAAAAAGGGGGGATTTTCCAGTTTTCGGACAATAACTCAAAAATGCTGTCAGCAATTCTCATGAAACTTTGGTGAATTGTTTATATCTATTGATGTAAGCTCCCTTTACATTTTCATAAATTTCTAATATGACATTGAGAATTAATTGAACTTTATTTGTTTATAGTCTGACAACAGATTTTCTAAGTATTGCGCAACAGTACAGTATATTGCACAACAGCAAGAAATCTTTTCATATAACCAATTTCAAGTTCTTTGACTACATTTATTCAGAAACCTATAATATGTCAAATATTCAATACAATCCAAATTTAGACCTGTATCAAGCTTGAATATTGTGTCCATTTTTGCCCCAACTGTTCAGGGATGGACCTCTGCGGGCGTATCCAGCTGCGCTCAGCGAAGCAGTTTATTCCATTTGTAAAGGGGCATAACTCTAGAACGGTAAAAGTGACGCCACCACAATTCAAACTTGATCTGTGTTTTGTGGTAATAAGCATTGTGTATAAGTTTCATAACATTTGGTTAAGGCAAATTAAAATTAGAGAACGGAAACAAAAAATTCAGCAATTTTTCCATTTGTAAAGGGGCATAACTCTAGAACGGTTAAAGTGACGCCACCACAATTCAAACTTCATCTGTGTTTTCTGGTAATAAGCATTGTGTATAAGTTTCATAACATTTGGTTGAGGCAAACTAAAGTTAGAGAACGGAAACGATAAATTCAGCAATTTTTCCATTTGTAAAGGGGCATAACTCTAGAACGGTAAAAGTGACGCCACCAAAATTCAAACTCAATCTGTGTTTTGTGGTAATAAGCATTGTGTATAAGTTTCATAACATTTGGTTGAGGCAAACTAAAGTAAGAGAACGGAAACGATAAATTCAGCAATTTTTCCCTTTTTAAAGGGGCATAGCTCTAGAATGGTTAAAGTGACGCCACCAAAATTCAAACTTGATCTGTGTTTTGTGGTAATAAGCATTGTGTATAAGTAAATAACATTTGGTTGAGGCAAACTAAAGTTAGAGAACGGAAACGATAAATTCAGCAATTTTTCCATTTGTAAAGGGGCATAACTCTAGAACGGTTAAAGTGAAGCCACCAAAATTCAAACTCGATCTGTGTTTTGTGGTAATAAACATTGTGTATAAGTTTCATAACATGTGGTTGAGGCAAACTAAAGTTAGAGAATGGAAACCAATTTTGGGACGTACGTACGTACGTACAGACGGACAAGGGTAAAACTTAATGCCCCCTCCGCTACGGCGGGGGCATAAAAATGTGATCATTTGCAGTTCATAGTTGAAGACCGTAGTTGCCAAGGTGCAGTAAAATCACTTATCCTTTGGCATAAGGGCATATAAGATTGTTGTTTCAGGAACACTATTTCTTTGATATATATGAGATTGTTGTTTCAAGAACACTGTTCCTTTGATATATATGAGATTATTGTTTCAAGACCACTGTTCCTTTGTCATATGAGATTGTCGTTTTAATAACACCATTCCTTTGTCATATGAGATTGTGGTTTTATAAGGAACACTGTTTCTTTGTCATATGAGATTGTTGTTTTATTAGGAACACTGTTCCTTTGTCTTATGAGATTGTTGTTTAATGAACATTGTGTTTTTGACATATGAGATTGTTGTTTGAAGAACACTGTTCCTTTCACATGAGATTGTTGTTTGAAGAACACTGTTCCTTTCACATATGAGATTGTTGTTTCAAGAACACAGGCCTTTGACATATGAGATTTTTGTTTCAGGAACACATGCCTTTGACATATGAGATTGTTGTTTCAGGAACACTGTTCCTTTGACATATGAGATTGTTGTTTCAGGAACACAGGCCTTTTACATGAGATTATTGTTTAAGGAACACAGGCCTTTGACATATGAGATTGTTGTTTGAAGAACACTGTTCCTTTCACATATGAGATTGTTGTTTCAAGAACACAGGCCTTTGACATATGAGATTTTTGTTTCAGGAACACATGCCTTTGACATATTAGATTGTTGTTTCAGGAACACTGTTCCTTTGACATATGAGATTGTTGTTTCAGGAACATAGGCCTTTTACATGAGATTATTGTTTAAGGAACACAGGCCTTTGACTTATGAGATTGTTGTTTTAAGAACACTCTTTCTTTGACATATGAGATTGTTGTTTCAGGAACACATGCCTTTGTCATATGAGATTGTTTTTAGGAACACCTGTGACAGGTAAAGTGATATCAATTATGGAGAATAATTTTTATTGTGTGGTCTAACTGAGAAGGTCAGAGGTCATTGCTACATTTTAACTTGTAAAACTCTGTTAGTATTGGTATTGAATTGATATTTAGTGTATACCTAGGAATAGACAATAAACTACACTGCTGAACTGAGTGAATGGTTTCCTTGATTATAACGTGTAAAGTTTAATAACAAACTAAAACGGTTATAAACACAGACATCTACATCTATGATGATTATGCCTAATAACCTTGCACATGTGGTGCAGACTTTCTGAGGTCACTGATGACAATAGTGCAGTGGGCCATCTGAGGTGTATTTTAATGTAAAAGACGTCATTCTGAGGTTTCTTTTTAAGTCTATCTTTCTTATTTTATTATATTATATATAGATAGTAGCACAGAGTTAGATTCTCTGCAATCACAAAAGTTTGATTAAAAAAGTAAATTATAGTTATAATAAGGAATAAAACATTTTTTAAAGAAGATGTGGTTTATATCAATTAATTTTAAGACAGCAACCCAAGGACACAAAAATAACCGAAATTCATCTAGAACTCAACGTACAATCTTCAAAAATAGACAGGTGAATAAGAAAAAATTATTAAATTATCTCCACATTAATATCATAAAATATCATCTACAAGCCACAATGTAAACTTTTTTGGAGAGCTTAGTGCAGGAAACAAACAAAAAAGCTTTAGATTGTGTTGAGCAGCTGATATTCAATGATATCTTTATGCAGAAAACCTACTAATCTGTTTCTTGTGGTAGTTCTGTAAATCTGGTCTATTTCACCTTCATTAGATAGTTTTACGCTTGACGTAAGTAAGATTGGTAATTTCTTCTCACACTTTGTTACGTCTGGGGTGATGTTGCTGATAAGTTCTACTTAAGTCAAAGAATTGAGATGAGATTCTCTGAACAACTGTGGAGGGTGAGACAGG